TAACCATGGTATGATAGAGCTCTACACAACTAACCGTGGTATAATAAAGCTCTACACAGCTAACCATGGTATAATAAAGCTCTACACAGCTAACCATGGTACAATAAAGCTCTACACAGCTAACCATGGTATAATAAAGCTCTACACAGCTAACCATGGTACAATAAAATTCTACACAGCTAACCATGGTATAATAAAGCTCTACACAGCTAACCATGGTATAATAAAGCTGTACATAGCTAACCATGGTATGATGAAGCTCTACACAGCTAACCATGGTATGATAAAGCTCTACACAGCTAACCATCGTATGATAAAGCTCTACACAGCTAACCATGGTATGATAAAACTCTACACAGCTAACCTTGGTATGAAAGAGCTCTACACAGCTAACCATGGTATGATAAAGCTCTACACAGCTAACCAAGGTATAATAAAGCTCTACACAGCTAACCATGGTATGATAAAGCTCTACACAGCTAACCATGGCACAATAAAGCTCTACACAGCTAACCATCGTATGATAAAGCTCTACACAGCTAACCCAGGTATGATAAAGCTCTACACAGCTAACCATGGTATAATAAAGGTCTACACAGCTAACCATGGTATAATAAAGCTCTACACACCTAACCATTGTATGATAAAGCTTTACACAGCTAACCATGGTACAATAAAGCTCTACACAGCTAACCATGGTATAATAAAGCTCTACAGAGCTAACCATGGTATAATAAAGCTTTACACAGCTAACCATGATATGATAAAGCTCTACACAGCTAACCATGGTATAATAAAGCTCTACACAGCTAACCATGGTATGATAAAGCTGTACACAACTAACCATGGTATGATAAAGCTCTACACAACTAACCATTGTATGATAAAGCTCTACACAACTAATCATGGTATAATAAAGCTCTACACAACTAACCATGATATAATAAAGCTCTACACAGCTAACCATGGTATAATAAAGCTCTACAAGCTAATCATGGTATGATAAAGCTCTACGCAACTAACCATGGTATAATAAAGCTCTATACAACTAACCATGGTATGATAAAGCTCTACACAGCTAACCATGGTATGATAAAGCTCTACACAGCTAACCATGTTATGATAAAGCTCTACACAGCTGACCATGGTATAATAAAGCTCTACTCAGCTAACCATTGTATGATAAAGCTCTACACAACTAACCATCGTATGATAAAGCTCTACACAACTAACCTTGGTATGATAGAGCTCTACACAACTAACCGTGGTATAATAAAGCTCTACACAGCTAACCATGCTATAATAAAGCTCTACACAGCTAACCATGGTACAATAAAGCTCTACACAGCTGACCATGGTATAATAAAGCTCTACACAGCTAACCATGGTATAATAAAGCTGTACATAGCTAACCATGGTATGATAAAGCTCTACACAGCTAACCATGGTATGATAAAGCTCTACACAGCTAACCAAGGTATAATAAAGCTCTACACAGCTAACCATGGTATGATAAAACTCTACACAGCTAACCATGGTACAGTAAAGCTCTACACAGCTAACCATGGTATAATAAAGCTCTACACAGCTAACCATGGCACAATAAAGCTCTACACAGCTAATCATCGTATGATAAAGCTCTACACAGCTAACCCTGGTATGACAAAGCTCTACACAGCTAACCATGGTATAATGAAGGTCTACACAGCTAACCATGGTATAATAAAGCTCTACACAGCTAACCATTGTATGATAAAGCTCTACACAGCTAACCATGGTATAATAAAGCTCTACAGAGCCAACCATGGTATAATAAAGCTCTACACAGCTAGCCATGGTATGATAAAGCTCTACACAGCTAACCATGGTATAATAAAGCTCTACACAGCTAAGCATGGTATGATAAAACTCTACACAACTAACCATGGTATGATAAAACTCTACACAACTAACCATTGTATGATAAAGATCTACACAACTAACCATGGTACAATAAAGCTCTACACAACTAACCATGGTATAATAAAGCTCTACACAGCTAACCATGGTATAATAAAGCTCTACAAGCTAACCATGGTATGATAAAGCTCCACGCAACTAACCATGGTATAATAAAGCTCTACACAACTAACCATGGTATGATAACGCTCTACACAGCTAACCATGGTATGATAAAGCTCTACGCAGATGACCATGGTATAATAAAGCTCTACTCAGCTAACCATGGTATGATAAAGCTCTACACAACTAACCATCGTATGATAAAGCTCTACACAACTAACCATGGTATGACAGAGCTCTACACAACTAACCATGGTATAATAAAGCTCTACACGGCTAACCATGAGATAATAAAGCTCTACACATCTAACCATGGTATAGTAAAGCTCTACACAGCTAACCATGGTACAATAAAGCTCTACACAGCTAACCATGGTATAATAAAGCTCTACACAGCTAACCATGGTATAATAAAACTCTACTCAGCTAACCATGGTATGATAAAGCTCTACACAGCTAACCATGGTATAATAAAGCTCTACACAGCTAACCACGGTATGATAAAGCTCTACACAGCTAACCATGGTACAATAAAGCTCTACACAGCTAACCATGGTATAATAAAGTTCTACACAGCTAACCATGGTATAATAAAGCTCTACACAGCTAACCGTGGTATGATAAAGCTTTACACAGCTAACCATTGTACAATAAAGCTCTACTCAGCTAACCATGGTATGACAAAGCTCTACACAACAAACCATCGTATGATAAAGCTCTACACAACTAACCATGGTATGATAGAGCTCTACACAACTAACCATGGTATAATACTCTACACAACTAACCATGGTATGATAAAGCTCTACACAACTAACCATGTTATAATAAAGCTCTACTCAGCTAACCATGGTATGATAAAGCTCTACACAACAAACCATCGTATGATAAAGCTCTACACAACTAACCATGGTATGATAGAGCTCTACACAACTAACCATGGTATGATAAAGCTCTACACAACAAACGATCGTATGATAAAGCTCTACACAACTAAGCATGGTATGATAGAGCTCTACACAACTAACCATGGTATGATAAAGCTCTACACAACTAACCATGGTATGATAAAGCTCTACACAACTAACCATGGTATGATAAAGCTCTACACGGAGTAAAACATAACTTTATAAAGCTCTTCGTAGCGAAACATAAAAGGATCGAGATCTACAAAGAGCGAAACGTGGCATGAACCTCAGCTTGATAAAATTTATACAGAGCGAAACGTCCCGGTAAAAACTTATTCTGTCACATAAGACCAGATTATTGATACTATTTTTACGAGGAAGCCCTAAAACAGTACGGATCACGCAGTCCGTGAGAAATAGGTGATGAGGGTCGATCCTAGAAAGATGAGAGGGTAGCTCCAACTCTTTGGATCAAAAGCACTTCACAGTCATCCAGGCACTTTTTATTGCTGGATAATCATAGTACCAGGGGGAGAGAACACAACTTTGTAGTAGCCACAGTCAGTGGCCAGGCTTCAAACACCTTTTATTGTACAGCAATAAAGGAATGGAACAGACTACCCGCACATGTCAAGGCCTGTCATAGCATGAACCAGTTCAAGAAGAGTGCCAAAAGGTGTCTTATGAATGTAGCTACAGAAAGGGAGGGGAATGATTTTCTATTTTTTAGCTAACATACGTGTAAATTTTACCTTATTCCTAGTAATGACCCTCGTATTGTAGATAGTCTTAATGACCCTCGTGTAGTAGATAGTCTTAATGACCCTCGTGTAGTAGATAGTCTTAATGACCCTCTTGTAGTAGATAGTCTTAATGACCCTCGTATTGTAGATAGTCTTAATGACCCTCGTATTGTAGATAGTCTTAATGACCCTCTTGTAGTAGATAGTCTTAATGACCCTCGTATTGTAGATAGTCTTAATGACCCTCGTGTAGTAGATAGTCTTAATGACCCTCGTATTGTAGATAGTCTTAATGACCCTCGTATTGTAGATAGTCTTAATGACCCTCGTGTAGTAGATAGTCTTAATGACCCTCGTGTAGTAGACAGTCTTAATGACCCTCGTGTAGTAGATAGTCTTAATGACCCTCGTGTAGTAGACAGTCTTAATGACCCTCGTGTAGTAGATAGTCTTAATGACCCCTCGTGTAGTAGACAGTCTTAATGACCCTCGTGTAGTAGACAGTCTTAATGACCCTCGTGTAGTAGACAGTCTTAATGACCCTCGTGTAGTAGACAGTCTTAATGACCCTCGTGTAGTAGACAGTCTTTTAAGTATGACAATAAGATGTTATCTTCATTACAGAATAATAAGAAAATATTATAACCTTTATATTATAATAATAAGGTAAAAGGACCCCAATGGAAATAAGTCACTCTGTCTGACTTTTTTGGGTTATCCCAGGTTATCCCAGGTTATCCCAGGTTATCCCAGGTTGTCTACACATATGCTGCTATGTATGATAATTCTATGTAACTGTATTTGTGTATACCTGAATAAACTTACTTACTTACTAACCTTTTAATAACTACGATATAATTATCCTTGAAATTTATTGTTATATTTGGGTAATTAAAAACTAAATTAGTGCAAAACAATAAGTATATGAAAATAATAATAATAACAACACCAGTAACAGTAATAATGATATAAATACTACTAATAATAATAACAATTATGATAATATAAATGCTACTACTAATAATAATTATAATATAAATACTACTAATAATAATTATAATAATAATAATATAATTACTACTAATAATTATTATAATATAAATACTACTACTAACAATAATTATAACAATAATTATAATAAAAATAATAATTGTAATAATAATTATAACATCAATAACAATTATAATAATAATAATGATAATTTTTCATACATGACCACATCGTTACTGTCAATGTATGTAGCGTTGTCAGTTAATAAGTGAAATAAGACACATTATGGTGGGTTTACCTGCGGTTCTGGTACCAGGTCTTGACCTGTGTCTCTGATAGATTGAGAGCCTCGGCCACGTCAGACCTGTCAGCCACACTCAGGTACTTCTGCAGTCTGAACTTCCTCTCCAGGTAGGCCAGCTGGGCGTGTGTGAAGGCTGTTCTACGACGCCGAGGCTTCTTCTTGTCCTCCTCCCTCTTCCCTCCTGAGCCTCCGTCACCGCCCTGATGAAATATTTATATAAACTTAATTAAAATACTGGGGGAGGGAACCTTCCACTTCCCTCCTCCAGGGCTCACATCACCCTGCAGGAACGTTCTTTGTAAGAACGTTCCTCCGAACGAATCTGCTAGGACCTCTTACTCATTTCCACAACATTGCTAGCACCTGATGATGTGCTGATTGCAACACGAAAGGGCTAAAGCTATTATTCAACTCCCCCAGTGGTTGTTTTGCACATATATAACATTTAAACTTTACTAAACCTAAGTTAAAACTTACATAATGTTGATAATAACTACACGTTCTCACGGATAACACTAACTTGACGTAAAAAAGTAATACCAACACAAATTCTTACCCCATCAAGGATATGGATGCATTGATGCTGATAGAGCACTCTTGATCCAAGGAACTGGAACTGCCCTGCTCTTCCTTGGATCAAACCTGGTTAGATATTGTTCCACAGGCTACTTATGATTCCTACAGGTCTGGGACTTCCCTATGAATATAAGAATACACACACACACACACACACACAACACACACACACACACACCCCAACACACACACACACACACGCACGCACACACACACACACACGCACCCCCACACACACACCACACACACACCACACACCACACACACACACACACACACCACACAAAACACACACACACACACCACACCCCCCAACACACACACCCCAACCCCAACACACACCACAACCCCACCAACACACACACACACACACACCACACACACACACACACACACACACAGGGGACAACACACACCCACCCCACACCCCACCAAAAACAAAACAACACACACGCCACAAAACCACACACACACCAACAACACCCCCACACACACACACACACACCCCCGGCCCACACCCCACACACACCCCCCCAAAAACCACGCACACCCCACACCAACACACCACACACACCCCACACAACAACACCCCACACACGCACCACCACACCCACCCCAACACCCCCACACACACCACAACACCCACACCACACACACACAACCCCCACCACACACACCCCACACACACACCCCACCCCACACGCACCCACACACACACACCCACCCCAACACTCACACAAAAACACCCACACAAACACACACACACACCCCACACCACACACCACACACACACACACACCCCCAAACCACACACACACACACCCCACACACCACACACACACCACCCCCACACAAACCCCCACACCACAAAACACACCCCTCACAAACAACACACACACCCCACACACCCCCACCACAACGCCCACCCCCAAAACACACCCACAAAAACACACACCACACACACACACACACCCAACACACCCCACCACACACACACACACACCCCACATTTCACACGCAAACACACACACACACCACGCAAAACACAACAAAACACACACACACACCACACCCCCACACACGCACACAAAACACACACACACACAATCAGCAAAGAGGCGGGGCCGGGAGCTGTGACTGGGCCCCCTGAAACCACAAATGGGGTGAGTACAAATAGGTGAGACAAAAACCACACCACACACACAACACACACCACAACAACACCCACAAAACACGCACACACACCCCCAAACACACACACACACCCCCAACCCCCACACACACACTCACACGCCCACACACACACACACCCCACACCCCAAAACCCACACACACACACACACAAACCCCCAACGCCGCGCACACACACAACACACACACCACACACACACCACACACACACCCACCACACACACACACACACAACACACACACACACACCCACCAAAATTCTTGTTTTTCAAAAAACCCCTGGGGGTTTTATGAAAAGGAAACAGAAGAAAGGGACACGAGAGAGAGGGGGGGGTTTTTTTTGCTTTTCCTAGACTGGGGAAGGGCCCTTTTGGACACTTTTCCCCACAAGAGATTAGTGCAGAAGCTGGGAAATCGGGCCCGGCACGAAAAAGGGGGGGCACTGCAAGGATAAGAGGAATACCTGCCCAGGGAGGCAGCAACGAGTCATGGTTTCGTGAAGAGGTATCACAGGGGGGCGCCTGTTTTCGGCGGGGTCCCACAGGGGTCAGTTTGGACCCGTGCAAATTTTTTATTTATGTGAACGACATGATGGAAGGAATGGACTTGAAGTGTCCTTCGCAAATTTATGTGAAGGTTTTAAAGGAAAAAATTAAATCGGATGAGGATGAGGGAGGACTACCCAAAAAGACCTGGGAACCCGGCTGGAATGTGGTCCAGTAATGGCTTCTGAATTCAATCCAGCCAAAAAGCAAAGTCATGAAAATTGGGGAGGGGCAAAGAAGGGCCGCAGACAGAGTATAGGGTAGGGGGACCCAAAGGGCTAAGACCTCACTCAGGGAGAAAGGGCCCCTTTTTTGGGGAAACCTTAACACCGAGCACTCACCGGAGGCACACTTTAAACCCAAAAAACCGCTGCCAAACTTTCGGGCGCCTGGCAAACCCGAGAAAAGCGTCCCATACCTTAATAAGGAAACGTTCAAGACACTGTACACTGTGTATGTTAGGCCCATACTGGAGTATGCAGCACCAGTCTGGAACCCACACCTGGTCAAGCACGTCAAGAAGTTAGAGAAAGTACAAAGGTTTGAAAACAAGGCTAGTCCCAGAGCTCAAGGGAATGTCGTACGAGGAAAGGTTAAGGGAAATCGGACTGACGACACTGGGGACAGAGGGGTCAGGGGAGACATGATAACGACATACAAGATACTGCGGGGGAATAGACAAGGTGGACAGAGATAGGATGTTCCAGAGAGGGGACACAGGGACAAGGGGTCACAACTGGAAGCTGAAGACTCAGACGAGTCACAGGGACGTTAGGAAGTATTTCTTCAGTCATAGAGTTGTCAGCAAGTGGAATAGCCTAGCAAGTGAAGTAGTGGAGGCAGGAACCATACATAGTTTTAAGAAGAGGTTTGACAAAGCTCAGGAAGCAGAGAGAGAGAGGATCCAGTAGCGATCAGTGAAGAGGCGGGGCCAGGAGCTGAGTCTCGACCCCTGCAAGCACAATTAGGTGAGTACACACACACACACGCACGCACACACAAACCTAACCTAACACATTAGCTCATAAATCCTCCCACCACACACACACATTTTTACGATAAGCTCAAGCAGCTAGAACATCCCAACAGGATAAAAGCAAAATGGGATCTCAAAAGGAAGGACGTAAAGGCAAGGGAACCGATGATGGCTGGTCGGAAAAGGAAGAATGGGGAGAACGGCTCAAGAACAAAATGGAATAACAATGGGAGAAAAGGTTAAATGAGCTTTGCAATAACATGTTAGAGCAAATATCTGCAGAGAGCAAGAAGTGGGAATCACGAGCTGTAGTAGCTGAGGCAAAAGACAGAGATTGGAGGAAGAAATGGATGTGCTTGAAGAGGGAGGTAAAAGATGGGGTCCGAAAGGGCAAGGGATGACTGAATGAGAACATCACAGGCAGCGAGGGACTGAAGGAGGGGAATAGAGCTAAGCAGTCTTTTGCAGCAGTAAATCGGGCATCATGGTGTTGGGAGATAAATAGGGAAAACAGCAAAGGAGAGGTTAAATTGATCCAGATTCAAAGGGAAAAGAAATGAGAACAGGAGAGGGAGAGGTCAAAAATTTTATTCTTTGGTTCAGGAGGCTGAAGGACAGCCCTATGATGAAAGAAGCATTGGGGAGAAAAAGGGAGATTAAGAACATCATTGCAAAACAGGAGAGAGGGACATGTCTCAGTAGAAAAATTTTAAACAGACTTGGGAGTATTCAAAGGGAAAAAATCGACCAATCAGATTGACATTCAAGACAGATGTGTACGGAACAGGAACTACAACAAAAACCATGTTAAAGGGAAACTCCAGATTATCAAAAAGTGTTCCTCAATCGGACAGAACACGAAAGGAAGGGAACAACTGAAGTGAGAGCAAAGACAGAAACAAGTGGAAGGAAAGAGAGACAGGACAGGCAACAAACAGACAGGAAAGCTCAGCCTTTGGGGGAACATCAAACACAAATGCTTACAGAAACCTTGCAACCCCTGTCACCACATATCAACCAAACACAGTAAACAGAAATGAACCTCACTCCATACCCACCACCCCCCTAAGCACTATTCCACAATCACAGCACCCTCCATAATTTTTTATGCCCTGCCTCCCACCCTCCCAGCCTGCACCTTCCTCTTCCATCTCCCAAAATACAGTAATGGAAAGGACGCTAAAGGTATGGTACACCAATGCAGATGGAATAACAAATAAGAGTGAAGAGTGGCAAGAGCGCATCATTGATGCATCACCTGACATCATAGTACTAACAGAGACAAAATTTACAGGGATGATAACAGATGCAATTTTTCCACCTGGATATCAGATTATGAGGAAAGACAGAAAGAACAGAGGAGGGGGAGGAGTAGCATTGCTCATAAAAAACCAGTGGAGTTTTGAAGAGATGGGAGGAATGGAAAGAAGGGAAACAGACGACTTCATTGTAGGAACACTTCAGACTGGAGGTCCAAAGGTGATGTATAACCCACCACTTAACAGCAGGAGAACAAGAGAAGAGTATGATGTGTGCAATAGGGCAATGGTGGATACACTAGCTGAAGTGGCCAGGAGGGCTCATATGGGTAGGACAAAATTGCTTATAACTGGGGATTTCAGTCATAAAGAGATTGACTGGGAAAACCTAGAGCGACATGGGGGACCAGAAACATGGAGGGCTAAGATGTTGGAGACTGTATTGGAGAACTTCATGCACCAACATGTTAGGGATACAACCAGAGAGAGAGGAGAGGATGTTGCAGCAAGGCTGGATCTCATATTCACATTGAATGGTTCAGACATAGGGGATATCACCCACGAAAGACCCCTTGGCGCTAGTGATCATGATGTCCTGAGTTCTGAATATCTTGTAGAGTAACAGATGGGAATGCAGCAGCACGAGAACAAAGAGAGAGAAACCGAACTTCAAAACAGGGGACTACATAGGAATGAGAAGTTTCCTGCATGAAGTGCAGTGGGAAAGAGAACTAGATGGAAAGACAGTAAATGAAATGATGGAAATAGTGATCACTAAGTGCAGGGAGGCAGAGGAAAAAAGGTCATACCAAAGGGCAACAGAAAAATGGTAAGACCAGAGTGAGCCCATGGGTTTTAAATTTGGGGGTGTATAAAGAGGCCAAAACCGAGTGTGCGAGAGCATGGAAAAGATATAGAAGGCAAAGGACTCAAGAAAACAAGGAGCTGAGCAGAACCAGAAACGAATATGCAAGGATAAGGAGAGAGGCCCAGAGGCAATACAAGAACGACATAGCATCAAAAGCCAAATCTGAACCAAAGTTGTTGTACAGTCACATTAGGAGAAAAACAACAGTCAAGGACCAGGTAATCAGACTGAGGAAAGAAGAAGCTGACAAAGAGTGACCAAGAAGTATGTGATGAACTAAACAAAAGATTTAGAGAAGTATTCTTATGTAGAACTTAGGTTCTTATGTAGAACTTAGTTCTTATGTAGAACTTAGCCATACAGATTGCGAAAAGGACTTGGGGGTTATGGTGAGCAGCAACCTTAAACCAAGACAGCAATGCCTAAGCGTACGTAATAAGGCAAATAGATTACTGGTAGTTGATGAGTGGAACAGTCTACCTAGTTGGGTTATTGAGGCTAGGACTTTGGGTAGTTTCAAATTTAGGTTGGATAAGTACATGAGTGGGAGGGGTTGGGTTTGAGTGGGACTTGCACATCAGAGCTTATTTCTTGGGTGGCATTGAAAATCGGGTTGGGCAAATGTTTTGTTAGTGGGATGAATTGTAAAGGACCTGCCTAGTATGGGCCAACAGGCCTGCTGCAGTGATCCTCCTTTCTTATGTTCTTATGTTCTTATAGAGTCAGGAATGCTCCTAGCAAACTGTGGAGGTAGGGTGCACCAGCAGGTGTTGGACACAATACACATAACCAAGGTAGAGGTGAAGAAACTGCTAGACGAACTCGATACCTCAAAGGTGGTGGGCCCAGATAACATATCTCCATGGATACTGAGAGAGGGAGCAGAGGAACTGTGTGTGCCCTTAGCAGCAATCTTCAGTAAATCTGTCGAAACAGGGCAGTTGCCTGAGGAGTGGAAGACAGCACATGTAGTTCCAATTTTTAAGAAAGGGGACAGACAGGCAGCACTAAACTACAGACCAGTGTCACTGACTCGTACAGTATGTAAAGCCATGGAAAAATTTATCAGGAGAAAAGTGGTGGAACACATTGAAAAGACTGTGCTCATACATGACAGCACGGCTTCAGAGAAGGAAAATCCTGTGTCATAAATCTACTTGAGTTCTACACACACACACACACACACACATATATATGTTAGAGTATTATTATATTCGTGGTGAAGCGCTTAACCCACAGGGGGGTCATACAGGGTCTGGGGAATCTGGTTTGAGGCCAAGAAGAGGAGGGGATGCTTCAGTTCCTTGGATGAAGAGCTGGTCAGCATCAAGTGACGGTCCTTTATGAGCGTGTAACAAGAATATGATAGATATTGACTCACAGTGGGTCCTCCGTCATCGTCATCGTCTCCCACCAGGTCGTCACCTGGGTCGTCTCCGCTCGGTGAGGGTGACCGCGAGGCGTGTAATGTGAGCGGGCTGGTGGGCGTGGGCTTGGCGACGCTGGGCGTGGTCAGGATGGTGGGCGTGGGCGCCCTCACCATGGCCTGAGTCGAGGTCGCTACAAGCGAGGCGGTGGGCGTGAGAAGTGTGGGTGTGGGCGTGATGAGTGTGGATGAGGGTGTATTGAGTGCTGGCGTGGGCGTTGTGGTTGTAGTCATGAGCGTAGAGAGTGCAGACATGGGCGTGGGTGAAGGTAAGTGGGCGCGAGGCTCCGGCATCTCCCCATCTGAAAATAATTATCTAATTATATTTATACACACACATGAATACTCAATTTTTTTACCAGGTACACACGGAAAATATATTTTGCCCATAAAACGGTAATAATCAATACAGACAACTAAATTTTGATAAAAAAAACTAAAATAAAACTATTACTAAACAAATGTTAATTGTTTCAAGGTGAACATGGATGGAGGAACGTCTACTGATAAAGATAACTAGATGTTGCACATGTGTCTAATTCTTCATCATTTCAAGGATTAGACATCTAAGTTGTTACACAGAGTCGTATTTAATTAATACCCCCACACATCAACATCTCCGTTCAAGGCAGGTGAAATTGCTGATCTAGAGAATGTACAGAGAACCTTTACTGCACATATAAGTTCCATCAAACACCTTAACTACTGGGAACGCTTGGAAGCACTTGACTTGTACTCACTGGAGGGCAGGCGAGAGATATATCATAATCTACACTTGGAAAATCCTAGAGGGAATGGTCCCGAATCTGCACACAGAAATTACTCCCTATGCAAGTAAAAGGCTGGGCAGGCGATGCAAAATACCCCCAATGAAAAGTAAGGGCGCCATTGGTACACAAAGAGAGAACACAATAAGTGTCCAGGGCCCAAGACTATTCAACAGCCTCCCACCATGCATAAAGGGAATTACCAATAGACCTCTGGCTCCCTTTAAGAGGGAGTCGGATCGGTGCCGGACCAGCCGGGCTGTGGTTCGTAGGTTGGACTACGTGCGACCAGCAGTAACAGCCTGGTGCAATGGCAGGCCTGGTCGTGGGCTGGGCCGCGGGGGCGCTGATCCCAGGAATACCCTCCAGGTAGACACAATTCAGAAGTGCTCACCTGATTGTGGTTGCAGGGGTCGAGACTCAGTGTATGTCTTTCAGTGTAAGTACACTGAGAATTTACTCTAATCCTTATTTTGTCTTGACGTATGGTCACCTGTCATCTAGGAAGGAACAGAGAAGAAATAAGGTCACCTGTCATCTAGGAAGGAACAGAGAAGAAATAAGGTCACCTGTCATCTAGGAAGGAACAGAGAAGAAATAAGGTCACCTGTCATCTAGGAAGGAACAGAGAAGAAATAAGGTCACCTGTCATCTAGGAAGGAACAGAGAAGAAATAAGGTCACCTGTCATCTAGGAAGGAACAGAGAAGAATAAGGTCACCTGTCATCTAGGAAGGAACAGAGAAGAAATAAGGTCACCTGTCATCTAGGAAGGAACAGAGAAGAAATAAGGTCACCTGTCATCTAGGAAGGAACAGAGAAGAAATAAGGTCACCTGTCATCTAGGAAGGAACAGAGAAGAAATAAGGTCACCTGTCATCTAGGAAGGAACAGAGAAGAAATAAGGTCACCTGTCATCTAGGAAGGAACAGAGAAGAAATAAGGTCACCTGTCATCTAGGAAGGAACAGAGAAGAAATAAGGTCACCTGTCATCTAGGAAGGAACAGAGAAGAAATAAGTCTATGTCTAACTCGGTGTAAAATCACGTAGCATGTGACTGCAGTGGAAATGTGGATTGTCAGTGTGGACATAAGAACATCGTCAGAGTGATATACTGTATGGTGTAAGCTAATGACAGGTGTTCATTATCTCAAATAAAAAATTTACTGTTTCAAAATAAACGCCTTTGTTACTCGAGGTGCCTCAAGTGAAAGAGGGAGCAGAAAATATAAGTTTATATGTACTGGGTGTGGTAGCTGGAAGAAACCAAGAGTTATTTACTATGACAGGAAAGACGTTGCCTACGTTCAAGAATACGTAAACTTTCATCTTAATCAACTTTGTCGCTTTGGGGAAGTGAATCAGAGAGTCGACGATGTTTGGGGTGATTGTCATGGAGGATAATGTTTGCTTTGAACGGAAGGTAGTTCCGTTCACAGAGACGAATAAAAGGGCCGACAAGGAAAGTGGTAGAAGGTGCAGGTGGTAATCATATGTGGGATGAAGATAATTCTGGCGCAGGGACATATAGGAGGAAATTGCCAGGCGATGTAAGGTGGGAGGTGGAATTCAGACGGAGGAGAGCCAACACAATCCTCTCACGGGGATTAGCACCGTAGGAAGAAGGCCAGTTCCTAATATTAGGTTTGAACTTATGGGAAATAACGAGGTTGGGCCACAGACTTTGCCACAGGTGTAACGACTTCCATCTAAAGAACAATGGCCCCGGCTCCGTGGCCTAGGCCTAGAGATTGGCCGATGTTACAGTGACCGGGTACCAGACTTACGAGTTTAACCTATAAATAATGTCGCACAGTATTTGATTCGTATTTGTGACTCCAGCCTGTACAGCTGTCAATGCAGCTGCCTTGTTTTATAAGTAATGCAAAATCTATGGTTCACTCCATGGCCAAATGCTCACCAAGGAAGACCTATGTATGGTTTGGCAAACGGACCCTGAAGGAACATTCAGTCGACTATACATCTGCACCCACACATTCACTTGTTTTGAATCTACTAGTATATAAGTGGAGGTGAATGAGGTAGCAGCACAAATTACTTTTTTGCTTGGGAACCATGACGAACACACGTTAATTTTGGGTGGCTCCCAAGGAGTTATATATTCTTTCACACGCTAATTTACCTCAGTCAGTACAATACCGGACGCCTGAGAGAGCGAGAGACCGAAGTCAACAGCCAGGGGCCTGGAGCCACTCAGAAGAAACTGCTAATGATGTAAAGATGTGTTACAGGCCGGTTTGATGATTGTTGACTTCCTGGGCGCCATGATGTTCTAGTTGTTCTCGGCTTAATAGGAGCAGATGGACGTTTGCTTCCACCTCCAAGCTCTCAGTTAGGGTGCAATGCACCGTACTCCGAGGCAAACAGACGAACATGCATTCTGGGCCACAACAAACCTCATGAAAGGTAGCATTGATTGGTAAACTGATCACGTCAGTATCCATCATTAATAATGATGCCCTGATGGCTTCCCATTAGGTACCAGTAAGATACCAGGTGATAAAGCAAAAGCTGACCGCAATGCATGACAAGGATTTCAATAGAATTTTCCCAGTTGAGGCTGAGGTCGCAGTGCAGGTCCAAGAATCTTGCTGAAGGTTGCATCAGTTAGTGTAATGGTAACAGGGGAGGTGAAATGATTAAAGGCATTTGGAATACTTTAACCAGCTGCAAACTTTAAATTCCGTTGCTTCGCCCAACTTTGGACAAACTCAAAAGCAATTTGAATCGGCTCATTTGAAAATTGTGTGTTTAATAAGGAATGCAACAAAGCACAATCTTCGGCACTCAGTTCACACACTGAAGTCCGGGGTTCGATCCCCGGTACGGCTGGAAAACATTAGGACGTGTTTACATAAGACACCTGCTGTCCATGTTCACCCATCAGGGTGTTAGTCGACTGGTGTGGGTCGCATCCGGGGACAAAATTGATCTAATTTTCCTGAAATGCTCTGCACAACAAGGCGCTTTCTATATAGTGGTATGTCATTGATGTCAGCCAGGCCTATATACCTTGCACATCTACTTATAGAAGTGAAGATATTATTATTATTATTATCATTATTATTAATTAAGATTCTCGGGACGAACGTTGGGCAGAAAACAATGTTGGGCTTAGCACACAACTCTGCGGCACTCCGTTTTCTTAGATAAATATGTCCGAAATGACGTGATGTGTGCGGAGAACAAAGATTAAGGTTGCATGTTACCTATTCACCGCCATTCAAGAATACTACAATCCCTAAAAAAAAAAAGGATTAAAATGAACTCTGGGCGTATATACACTGAGAAACATACAGCTCTCGGTGTGTATATCCTGCGTGAATATATCGCGGAACAGCTCCATATAGTAGAAAATCTTTTTACCACTGGACTTAAGGACTTAGGGAGATCAATGCAAATAACAATAAACTATTTCCCTGACACATTGGGGATAACGCTCAATCAATAACAAAGAAGATATATGAAAAAAATGAATAGCCTGGCGCGTCTCGACCAGCTCCGAGGTCGTTAGACGCCTCGACAATACAAGGTGGAGGACAATGGTCGCCGGGGGACCAACAATGACTAACTCAGAAGCAATTCTTAAAACATTTAAAAGACCGTTAGGGCGACTGCACCGCCCGCTGCCCATCTCCCCAGTGTTAAACATTGCCTTTCATTACAACACATTCAGTTGGATCGCATTTTTTTTTTCCGTGTGGCTGTATTTTGTCAAACGTTCTTCGTTAAATATTTTTTTGCATGTTATCAAACACTGACTGCATTTTATCAAGTAAGAATTGTATGTTTACCACAGTAAGTGAATGTTTCATACATGGAATGCATTTGTTGAAAACGGATTAGGCAAATATTCTGTTAGTAGGCTGGATTTGTTAAGGACTTGCCTAGTATGGGCTAACAGGCCAGTTGTAGTGTTCCTACTTTCTCTTGTTCTTATGCTTTATTATCATAATCACTGAGAATCGCTAAACCCGTAGGGGTGACACGGCTCCTGGGGAAATAAGGGGATAACCTGATTTGATCCATTTCGTTCTAACATGCACTATATACATTTTAATTCTCTCTCACTGCATTTCCTCTCGTGTTCTCTACCTTTTATAATACACAGAAACTCAAAAATGGATCAGATTTATCACATCTATGATCCTAGAGGTCAAACAGTGCCTGGAAATGGGTGGTACTAGCGTCTTCACGTGACCTCATCAAACTGGAAGTCGAGGAGGTAATTTTTCAACAGAAATGTGACGGAGATATTGTTAGGTAAGACACATAGGATCTCAACTTCAAGGACCATAACATTGTATCAATCGCATCTGCTAGAAAAATGACAGGATGGATAATGAGAACCTTCAAAACTAGGGAGGCCAAGCCCATGATGACACTCTTCAGGTCACTTGTTCTATCTAGGCTGGAATATTGCTGCACTCTAACAGCACCTTTCAAGGCAGGTGAAATTGCCGACCTAGAAAATGTACAGAGAACTTTCACGGCGCGCATAACGGAGATAAAAC